CCCCCCCCCCCCCCCCCCCCCCGCCCCCCAGCCTACCTTCTGAGCACGTCGCCAGCCTTCGGGTGCCCCTGAGCGGCAAGCACCTGGTGCAGCCATCCCATCGCTTGCGCGACACACGCCTTGTCGCCGCTCTGCTGGGCCACTCTGATGGCCTCCCCGAGGGCCAGCGATGCCAGCTCAAGGTGGCCGAACCTGACCATTGATAGTTGAGAGGAGCAAGGCAGCAAACAAAAACACGGCGAGCGTCAAAAAGGCAGCATGACGTAGGGTACGGCTACTGCGTTCAGCAGCCACTGCAGGAGGACACCGACAGAGAGTTTGGGGGGGAGAGAGATTGAGATTGAGATAGATAGAGAGAGAGATAGGGAGAGAGATAGGGAGAGGAAGAGCGAGAGAGAGAGAGATCATAAAAGACACAGAGCGAGAGAGCTCGGGAGCAAGAGCAGTAGAGCATTCAGAATGCGGTCCGACATCCAAACGACGCGTGGCGATCGGAACGCCACAGGGTTAGGGTCAACCTCAACGCCGGTCTGTTGCTACGGTTGTGCTGTTCCACGCCTCTTCTTGTGCGATTTGGACACGCCCCGCTTCGCAGAAAAAGACCACCAGCTCCTCAGCATCACAAAACAACACCCACCCTTTCGAGCCATGTGAGGGTTGTAATAAATAGCACGGGGGGCGGCCCTTGGTCCACCAGAAGGGCTTCGCTGTCTGTCTCTTTTCTAAAATAAAAAAAAATCAGCATGCCAAATCTTATTTTTTCTCCCAACGCAGAAAGCACCCAACGCGTTACAGCGAGTAGTCGTGGTCGCCGCCGCAGCAACGCTTGCCGACGAGCATTTACTCACTCGAAATGAAGCCTTGCCAGCGCCAACGCGGCGTGCTGCGGGGTGTGCCGGCCGCTTCCCCCCTGAGCGCCCTTGGCGAGGTCCAGAAAACCTTCCGCATTGGACATGCTCGGACCGCCTGAGATGACGGCAAGAGAGAGAGCACCGGAGGAACACCACCGTGCATGGCTTGGTCCGTCAGCAAACTAAAAAAAAACCTGCAATGCACGAGAGACCACAGCAGTGCCGGCCTAGACGACCAAACAGACCACCGGACAACCACCCACGCACACAGCTTGGTCCTTCAGTAAACAAAACAACTAGAATCAAATGCATGATAGACAACAGTGCCTGCCTAGACGACCAAACAGACCACCGGACGAACACCACCGAAAGACCGTCAGCAAATTGAACCCCTGCAAATACCATGCATGCATGCAGAGAGACCGCTAGTACCCGCACCACTCTGCGACCCTCATCTTGGCCAAGTTTAGTTTCTCATGAGCTACATGCATTGCAAAGTTGTAGACGGGGCACCAGGGCACCACCGTTGATGTTTGAATCTACCCAAACAATATTCGTTTGTTGTATTCCAACCATCTGCTTCGCCTTGCTCTACAACAATGAAGCGTCGCGCGTGCCCTCTGCGCGACCCTGTTTCTCATGCTGCGACCGGCCACAAATGGCGCGGTTTGTTAAAAAAAAAAAAAAACTTGTTTCTCACCTCTGCGCACGGCGTAGTCGAAGTATCGGTGGAGGCTGTCCAGCGAACCTTCCAGCTCGCGGTGGTGCATGCAGTTCACCAGCCGCAAGAAGTGAGCCTTGGGCACGTCGGACCGCGACCCTAGCGCGGCCTACAGCACGCCCGCGGCGGCGACATGCAGGAAGAGGGAGAGAGCCCACGGGAAAAAACGAACGGCTGTCAGAGCAGTCGGGTAGGGTAGGAGTGCATGGACCGGGACGACGACAATACTCGCCAAGCTGGAGCGGCGGGCACGCTTGAGGTACAAGTAGGTGCTTGGCTGCCTGTGGTGGGGCTGAAGTAAATGTTTGTTTTTGGTGGGGTACAGCAGTGCTTTTTTTCTTGCATCCTCTTTTTTGTTCGTTCGGTTCAATTTATTAGTTGAGCGTAACACCAACCTTTTGGCCCCTCCTGGCTGCGCTGCAGCAGTTAGGAGAAGCACACCTGCCGGCTTAAAATAACCCATGGGGCCCGAAAACACACGGACAACCTTGACAGCGGCCCCTGGCAGCGGCGCAAAACCGACGTTCTCCCCAACTTCCCGCAGTATTTAGAGGGGAATAAAAAAAGACGAAAGCGATATCTCCCAAAACCTTCTCTTTCAAGGGACATGTCTTAAATCGAAGACGACGGGACTTACGGGCCTCTGAAGGTGGCGTCAGCGTTAAGGGCGGAAACAAGCTGTAGCTCCGCGCCCCGGCCTGCGGGGAAGGTTATTGGCAGCTTGTTTTTGACCAAGGCTCACCTGCACCTCGCTCTCGATCTCCTCGAACGGCACCTGGCTGCTCAGCCCGTTCTCCAGCCGCAGGACCTTCCTCTGGAGCCGCCACTGCAGCTGCCAGGCCGAAATCTCCCGGGGAAACAAACCCCCCTCCTCCCGACGCCCACCACCACCACCACCACCACCACCGCTATGAAACGCCTCTCCTCCCTGTTCGCTCTTCTCTTCCAGCGAACCCCCTGGTAGGTCAATTCGCTCGGCTGCAACGGTCGGAACGATGGTACACCGAAGGCGGCGTCCGTCACAGATTGGTTGCGCGGGGAATGTCCGCCCGCGAGCAGCGTGTGTTCCTATGCCGCGCACTACGGTAGGAGACGCAGGATACCACACACCCCGGACAAATGTAGTTTCAAAGCTCGACTACAATGTTCCACAGTGGTGGAAAGAGGCCACAGCAGTGCCAAAACTGTCGGCGTTAGGATAATTTCCCCCCCAAGTGTGTCCAAAAAACATGTAGTTTCATGTCTGCATCCGCTTTCGTCGTGGAGTAACGTAGCTGCTTTGGACTTCGATCCGAGGGGGTGTGATATCTAACGTCACGTACGGCACGTGCAGCGCCTTGTCCCCCACGCCCCTGGTGAACACACCTCTCAAAATGCGCCGCCGTTGCGAAAGCCTCTCGACATGTCGTCGTCCAACTCTTTCATTCAACGCCACTGCTGCCTAGAGCTACTAATACTAAAAAACCATATGGTACCCTCGTGCGTTGCGCCACCGAGACGCCAACCATACCCCCCCGTCACACCTCGATGTCGAAGCAAGGAGGTTATGGCGTTGCGATGACCCATCCCCGAGCCACCACCGTAACGGATCCGCGCCCCCTCCCCAGGAAAACCTCCACCAGCAGAATCGGAACCCCGCCGCGGGCTCTCGGAGGGAGACGACAGGTCCATGGCAGGGGAATCCAACGTTGCACGCACTTCCGCTATGAACTGTTCCCCACGGGCAAGCTCTTCCTCTAGCCGAACGGTGAGCTGTTCCCCGCGGGCAACCTCTTCCTCGCGCCGACGTATGTGTTGTGACCCACAGGCAGCCTCTTCCTCGAGCGGACCTGTGTGCGTTTTGACGTTGGATGCCGATGAAGCGAGGTGGCGGCGGCGGCGGGGGGGGGGAGGGGGGGGGAGACGAAGGTTTCCAATATCAAAAAGGTGAAAGTAGGCCGGGTCGGCAGTATTGGAGGTAGCCGGCGGTGGCGATGCTGAAACTCGATGGCGGAAAAACACACACACACACACACAAACAGAGGTCCGTGTCGTGGTGAAACAAGGATGCAAAGGGGCGAAATTTGGGCCAGGTATGGCATGCACCACCCGAGACCAGTAAAAACAACTGCAGCACGAACAACAGCTATGATACAACCATTTCCTGCGACTAGTCCCGAGAGTCCGAAGTCAACACTAAAACTACCAACTGCTGTTGCGCTGTCGGCACATCCATGCGCGTGGGTATCGACAGCGAGCAGGCTGCAACATCACACCTCCAACGCCCGCGCCGGTAAAACGCACGAGCTCCTCGTAGGTCGCCGAGAGGAGGCTGAAGCTGGCTCCGTCGCAGGCGGTCTTTAGCCGCCGAATGAAGACGCCGAACACGCTGTTGGGTCTCAGGTACATGGGCCTGACCTCACCGCCACGGCCGCGAACAGGGCACAGATGGGGGAGGGGGGGGGGCGCGAATAGAGAACACATGTCGGGGGGGGGGGGGGGGGGGGGAAAAAACAAAAAAGGGAAAAATAAGCAACACGGGCCCCGGGAGTAC